GGAAAAGATCCATACAATTAGAAAGATGGCATAGTTTCTAATTCTTAATTGATTAAGATATTGAGTCAGCTTGGAGAAAATAATTCTTATTTGTAACACAGCCAATTAGACTGAGGAAGTATGAACATAATAATTTACTCAAAGAAAAAGATGAAGATGAGGGTTAGTCATTTTAGATCATTATTGTGTTGAAGTTTAATATATGAGGAAAACTTGTTCTGGGCTTTATTGAAAAAGCCCTTGAAGAGAAGAAGAACAACATTCCTCTGGTCTGGACAGTCCAAATATGAAACTCTCATGAGAATAGACCTGCATTCCCTGGGTTTCTAGGAGCAGATGGACTATTTTGTATACTATTTTCAGTGTATAGTTCAAATGTTAGCACTGGTGATGAAACGCATTAGTGCATGTGGCATAAGTAAATGTCACATCTGTGTATCTATGATCAATAGAGTTTTCAGGCCAACATGAAGCACATCCTGTCAATAATACCAACAGTTTATAGCACCCCAGATAAAGATGGATTTATTTTAATAAGACTTAAAATACATTTAACTTTCATCCAAAAAGAAGAACTAACTTACACATTTGTTTTACCATTTAATTACTACCTTTGATTTCAGAAATACCTTTTAAAATTAAACCAGGTATACCAGAGTTCTTGGTACCCCTGCTGTTTATGCTTTTCATAGGCCACTTCTGTCAATACGACAGCATATAATCATCACAACATTTAAAAAGGTTGGAGCACATGGAGCTTTGACCATTCCTCCCCTAAGCTCTCCCCTCTTTAGCTCACCCAGCAGGTGTTGAATAGCATTTAGATTTGGTGACTTTGATATCCATTAAAAAAGGATAATTTTTGTCTTTTGTTGCTTTGACCAAATTTTTCAGATTATTATTCTGATGAAAGATCAATGGTGACCCATTTTCACTTTCTTGAGGGATACCATCGGATTCTTATCTAAAATCTCCTGGTATTTCAAACGATCGATGATGCCCTTCACTTTAACACTGTTCCCATTTAACTTGTGAGGAAAAACAGGCCAACAGATTCATCCTCCATTATTAGCAGTAGGGATGAGGAGTTTTTCCACATATTCATCCTTTGCTTTATGCTAAAAATGTCAACTAGGGATGACTTGTGCTCTTGTATGGAAAGTATTTTTCTTGCAGTGTTTGATTTAAACTTCCTTCTGTCACATTTTGATATGCCCCTGAGCAAGGCACTTAACCCCAAGTTGCGCACAGGTTGTCTATTTGTGTAGGAATATGGGGGAATTTGAGAGAGCAGGTGGGCGAATATGGCTTTAGCGTAAAGCACTCTGAGGAGTCAGTATGATTAGAAAAGCACAATATAATTTTAAAAATTATTATTATAATAATATGAATAAAAAAAACATAAATCTGTGTATTAATCTATACAATATCTGTTTTGTCATGTTATTTATCTGAGTCACTAAAATAAATGTAAAAAACAAACAACAAAAAAAACAAAACAAGAACCATAGTTTCATCTGAGAAATGCACATGATCCCAGTAGCATTCGGGCAAATTAGATAAGTTTATTTTGGTGGGACATATCTACCAAACAACCAGTTAGCATTTTTTTGGGCTTAAGTTATCAGTAAGTTTTGTGATAATCTTTAGCCTTTCCTGCTATTCCATAGCAACAAGAGAAACTTGGGCGCTTGTTTACTGTGGCTGTCACACAGTTAGTTGTGTTACATCTTTAGTTACACAAGATATGCTCTTATAACAATTTTGACTTTTTTTAAATTAACGAGGAAAAAAATGAACACTTGTGGCTTGACTTTCACATTCTGAGGAGTTACAAACATAACTATACTATGATTAACAAAAATTTACCTTAAACATTATTATACAAATCTTTGTAAGGGGTTCCAATAAGTTGGCATGTGTTATGATCCTGCACTTTTTGGTTCTGTTTAAGTTTTCTTTTTGAGTTTTCATTTACAGTTACAGTGTTTTCTAAGTAATTGGTTATATTTCCATTTGGTGTTATTCTAATTGTTTTCTGGTTGTATTTGAGTTCTTATATATTTTTTGTTTACTCTCTGTTGCCCCCTTTTATCAGTTGCCCCTAGCTCCCTTCTAGATGCTTCTGTCCACACCTGCTCCCAATCAGTTGATTATTCCATTCTTTGTTCTGTTTGGCATTTATACTCCTCCTCTGCAGTTACTGTCGGCTGAATTCTCTTCATTCATTCCTTCATCTCCCCCTTGACCTATGTGGTCCCAGTTGTTCTGATTCCTGTGTTCGGTTATGAGTAATTTTTGGATTTATGCATCTGTTGCCACTACTCCTTATGAAATCTGCAATTAACCACCTCAGCTTCCGTCTTTGCGTTTGGGTTCTCTAAAAACCTTAACGCAACCTGACAGCATGGTAGCTGCCATTTTTAGATTTTTTCTTTAAGGGAGGGCATTGGTTAAATCCAAGTTTTAAAATTACAGTATATAAATCTCCTTATTTTGGATTTCAGCAGTATTAGTGGAAAGGGAGCAGAGCAAACTGCAGGGTACTAACCTCTACATGTGAAAGCAAAGGAGGCAAACCCCTGGAGTAAATGTTCATGTTATGCATGTAGAAAAAGGATGTAAATTTCCTGCCATATGCTGGAGACCTGTTGTCCATGAGAAACTGATGGAATAATTGTGGAGCTGGATTCACATTAGAATGACTTGATTCCAAGATAAAAGTAGAGTGTATTGCACACGTTTTAGAATGCAAACATTTTATGTCACAGCTCGTCTTAACTTGGACCTCCTTGTTTGACAGGACCTCAAACACACTGATGCATTCAATTTATTCATGGAAAAGGAGGAGATGTAATGGCAGCACTGCATGCATATGAACAGGAGACGGTGGAAAGCTTGCTTTGAGCGAGGCAGATACAGAGAAGTGTGGGTGGACCAAGGTGCCAAGGTGATGGATCACCGAGAAGCGCGTCCGCTAGCCAGACTTTAGAGAGAAAGAGTTTAGCTGCAGACTTTGCAGAGAATGGGCCGGTGAAGAATTAACCCTGAGGTGAAAGATTTAACGTTTAGTGTGTGTGAGGCACAAACATGTTGATGTTTGGAATACAGAGCTCACAGCTCACTTTTAAGCTTATCGGGACACAATTAAATGATAATGAGAGGCAAAAAAAATTGTCTTCTCTTTTAAAAGGAAAATGATGACGTCAGAGAGACTTTCATCTTTGCATGGCATTCGTTTTTTTAATGCTCTATCAGGGAAAACCAAAAGGCCCATAATCCTCAGATAAGTCTTCTAATCAACTAATACCATGGACAGAGGATAATCGCATCAGCTCACTAATCACCTTTCTGCCTCTGGTCTCAGAGCAAGCATGTTTACGACACATGGGTCTGTGCTTTGATTTTATAGAATACCTGATGCAACATTTATGCATTTGTAGTCAGTTTCTTTCTGAATCTGAGGCACACAAGAAGGGATGCTTTTTTTTGCAAGGCCAAATACATGCATAATACATACTACTGTCTTTTGAATCGCAGGTGTTTGGACCTTAGCTTTCATTAAAGATAACCAATCTAGCTTAATCTGAAACGATTTCTTTAACACTTTCTACTGAGTTTGAGTAAAGGCAGGGTTTTTGATCTCCTCTTCTGAAACACTTACTAAGTTTAGAGAATTTGACCAATACCCTGCACTAGTTGCAGATAAATGTGGGAAAGTTCTTTTTCTTTTCTGTCTTCATTATTGATTGAACATTATACCTGCATCCTAAATCATTAAACTACCTTCTATGTGTTGTATAACTTTAGATCTTTTAGGTTTTAGCAGTTCCTCTAACATTTTTTTTTAAATAACAATCAAAATGCTTTAGACTTAATTCTGTAAATTCAATTCTAGCTTTTGAAGTGTCCTTAACAAGCAAAACAAAATCAATTTTACTGGATCCCATTTTAGAGTAGTGCAATAGAAAATCGAGGCAAATGTAATATGCTGGGTCTCCTTTCCTCTTTCAGTGAAACACAGATAGAGTTTTACCTACTAGAAAACTGACAGGTAGTTTTGTGTCAAGCATATAGAACAAAATAATAGAATAATTATGTTTCGGTTAATTATGCCTCAACTTCACGGGAAATTAATGGCTGTGGTGAAAATACAACCATACCCTGATTCAAAAAATGACTTTGTTACATTCCTGTCATGTAAATGTTTAGACAGCTATTTGGATTACGTTCTGATGGAAAAACACCAAATAATCATAATATGGAATAAATGCATAGAGGTTTTCCAATATCTACGCTATTATACGAACATTTTAAAATATGACACAGCTCTCACTCTACTGCCACCTAATGAGTAGACTGTAAGGCAACGTAGGAAGAAAGACAAAAAAAGAACATGGGCTTTCTTTCTCAGTGGGTCTTAGCGAATAAAAGCACTAAAAAAGACATTTGAAGCCAGACACTTATTTGGGAAAAATGTATTCTTTGTAAAATTGTAATCATCAAGCGACATATTATTTTAAAATAGGAGCAAAATGAACCCTCCCTAAGAACGGATTGCATATGCTATACTTTACATGGGTATCCGTTTATAATAGGTTATCAATGCTGTGTTTATATCCTACTATTCTCAGAGTTATGTAGCGTTCTTTCTTTCAAAGAAAACAACATTTGGGTGTTATTACTTGCTGGAAGAAAATAATAAAATATAACAGTTATTAATCTATATAAAAGTGAAACTTTTAGAATAAAGTAGTCAAAAAAAACACCAATTTCCTTTACAATCTCATGAACTGAGATGCAAAATGCATTCTGCACACGTACGAACCTCTGCACAGTTAAAGGTCAGTTATTGTAAAAACCCTCATTAGGCGTGTTTGTTATAATCTGGTTCTTTCAGCATCAGCTCCACCATCAGCTCCACCTGGCCTCCATCTGTTATCAGGTAAAGTCGAAAAGCTATTCAGTGAGTTTGATAATTAGTAAATTCTGTCCTGTACCTTGGTAACTGTAGAGATCCCCCATACTGGTTTGGCGCGTGATGTGCTGCCAGTAGGCGCTGCGTGGCAGGGAGATGGACTTGGTTAATGTCTCTCTGGAGTGAAACTGAAACAGACAATCAGACAGTATTGCATCTCACTTCTCTGTCACTTTCGGGAAAAACTGATCTACATTTGTCAGCGCATTAAAAAGAGTGACTAGTAGCACGTTGAAGGCTGAGTGGCATATCTCCAGGCTGAGAAGTCGTTTGATAGATATGGCAGGGAATCTTTGGGGTTTATTATGTTTTTCTCTCTAGCATGGTGTGGATTGGATTTTTACATTTTTAACTTCAAATCTTTATCCATAGTGCAAAAAACTCCTCATGTACCTTGAACCTTTGCATATTCTGTGCTTTTAGAATTGCTAACTTTGTGTTTTATTAGTATTTTGTCTGGTTTGCCAAGACAATGTAATGGATAACTGTGTAGTTTGGATAACTGTAGTCATGTGTGATCTTTTTCTTTTAAAAAATATGATTCTGAACGGTGTAGGGTGCATTTTTATTAAAAACCTTAGTCAATGGAATTGTTGAAACACGCCAGTTTTGCACAGTTAGAGGCTGATTTTTCAGCCCATTCTTCTTCGAGAAACTGCTGATGCTTAAATCTGTGTGGTGCACAACTGAAAGGTGTCCCGCTGACAGACTGTCCCACCGAGCTGAAGATCTCTGCAGCATCTCTGGAGTTAGAATCTCTTTTTGTATGGACTTCTAATGGGGAATTAAAAAACACAGTTCTCATTTAACTCTTTTCTATGTATTAGGTTGGTCTGTTGCATAAAATCCTGATAAAACACTTTGAAATTTGTGGCTGCAACGTGTCAAAATGTCTAAAAGGAGTAGAACACCTTTGTATAATCAAGAAATAAACTTTGCAGGTATAAAATCTGACACCCAAAAATTGCAGGGCATGCACGGTTTTATAGCCGACAGTGGCTGCTTTTGGAAATGTTCCCTAAATTGTGGGGTCCGGGAGCATAGCCATATGGTCAAGGCTCATCAGACACAAGGCATATGTAAACAATGAATATAGATGACAGTGAAAAGGAAGGAAGAAAGGAAGGATGAATGTTGCAACGGAAGGAGGGAGAGAAGGCCAAGTCTCTGGGGGGTCTAAGAGTTTCTGGTCCAACACACGATTCAGACATTAATCAGGATTCATTAGCTACAATTCTGAGCATGAACATGCAGCTTTATAGCTCTCAATATTTGTGGAGACTGATGTGATGAATGTAATGTAAAACATTAATAAATATTCCTCGAAATGTTCCTGAAATATAACCGCAGTCATACCGTATGCAGTCATTGATAAGACATAAAGAAACCCAAAACAAAGAAATGTACCTGGGAGCTCTTCTCCATCTCTTCTATCATCCTCTCATGCTGCTGGGCGATGGCCAGCGTGGCTGAGTGGACCCGCTGGTAGATCATCTCACCCTCCCGGGTCTGGAACGTAAACAAACCCTCTCCTGTGTCACACATCCTGCGCCAGGAACACACACACAGAGGGACACTTTAATTGTGCTTACTCTTAGACTGCTCATTTACAAACATGCATGGATGAATGTTTATGTAAACAGGGTGGACCATGGAGGCTAGTAGCCCCCCTCCCCCAAGGCAACAACAGAAGCACATCAACACAGTTTCACAGAAGCGTTCATCACATCATTACCGCCTGAAGGCCTCAGCAGCATGTATCCCAGAATGTTTTGGGTTTTCAAAGCTTCTTTGTTGAAGTTGTCAGAGCATTTCCACGACTACTCCTCCCCCTCCCAGGAGATGATACAAAGCCTGCACAAGCGCACATACCTTCCGGACTCAAATGTGAACCAGGTGGAGTCCCGGCCGTATCTGCGCAGGGAGCTGAGCGGCCACATGACGAGTTTGAGGCGTGCGTTGTGAATGTCCCACAGATAGATGTTTTCGTGGGTGATCTGCATGGTGCACTCTCCATAGATGTCCAGGTTCGGTGTGGGCATGAGGTACACATTGAATCGTTCTGAAAGAATTTGACGTGAGCACTTATTTACAACATTCTCACTTTTCTACACAAACAATCTAAAGTATTGAGAAACTTCTCTTTCTTTTAATGTCCTAATTATAAGGCTCAGCCAGGGAAACAACTTTACAACAATAAGAACACTTGACTGCTGTCAGTGCATGTAGGGTGCATTCAACAAATTTCTAAAGCCAATCGGACATCTGCTGCTTAAATGGGTTATACATTTAAAAAATGTCATATCAAAGGTATATCGGAGGATTTTCGCCAATTTTTAAACAACCTGCCCTCTCATTAAAAAAAAAAAAAAAAAATGCACATGTATATTCCTGTACCCACTCCCGAGAGGGAACGCGTATTAAACGCACGGAGAGCACGCACAAGCCCATTCTCCTCGTGCAAACAGCATGCTAATAGTTGCTGTTTGCATTGCTCATACAAACTTTACAAAAGATAATTTGCAATTTTTCCACTATGTTAGAGTCACCATCGGTATGTGAAAATGGGGACGAGCCCGTAGGACGGCCTTACGCAAACATATCACCAGAATGACTGACAATTGGAGGACCACTTATTTTGATGATCCACTCGGAAAAAGAACATCCTCCACTAAAGCTTTAATGCTAAATAAGAATCAAAAAAATTTCTGAAAGTTTTTAGTTCTACTTGCATTCAATTGATTTGAAAAAAAAAAACTATTTTTTTAACAATACAACATTGCTCAAAATGACAAAAAGGATAATCATTATTTTTAAAATTGTTAGTTTTATATATATACATATATATATACATACGACATATATATATACGTATATATATAT